TTCCTCTGTTTTCTGCTGTGTTCGGATTTATAGAAACCATAAAAATCTGTTGTCTGATCATCATACTGTCAGGCTGGCACTCTAAATTAATTATATTTCACTTATTTTTTGTCTGTTTATTAACAGCACATTAGTCATGTGTCTTATCCAGTTATTGAAGCATTGGAATTTTCAGACTATATCGATTATAGGAATATATGTTATTTGGAAATATTCTCATAACCAGTAGAAATATATCTGAACATAACAGGGTTAATATATTTAACTAAAACTAAAACCATAAAAACGTTTGTTAAATAAACATTAACTGAAATAAAATAAAATGTTTTAAAAAAATATATATATTTCAGCTTGTTGCCAAGGCAACATTTCTAATTTTCATTTAGTTTAATTTGATGGTACTAAAATAATAACAACCAAAACTGAAATAAAACTTTATAGACATTTTTAAAAAATGACAAAAACATACAACAATATTACTAAAACAGAAATGTAATGAAAACACAAAATATAGAAATAAAAATAAAATCGAATTCAAAATATGAATTACGAATTAAAAACACTGGAACATGAAAGCATTCACGTCTCAGTGTTTTATAAGTGATGTTCTGCCATCTAGTGGCTGATTTGATTAATTAAATAATGTTTAATAAGATTTGTGTCCTATATATATATATATATATATATATTAGTAGTTTTAAAGGCAACAGTAATAAGGCACAGGTCATCATGCTATATTGTGCATCAGTGTTTTTTTTATTAATTTTTTTATTTATACTATTATAGTATTTATTAATATGTTGAATTAGCTTTTATTTTATATTTTCAGTTTTCATTCTCATCTTAGTTTCATTAATTTAATTGTTTTTATCATTTCTATTTTTTAAATATATTATTATTTAGCTTTCATGTATTTTTAATTCCGTTTTAGTAACTTTAGTACTTAAATATTTTTATTTATTTCTAATGTTTTCACTTTTCATTCTAATTGTAGTTTTAGTAATTCCATTGTATTTTCCCATTTTTATTTAGTTTAAATATTAACATTTATTTTCATTTATTTTAATTCAGTTTTAGTAATTTTTGTACTTTATTTTATTTTTAAACTTATTTATTTTAGCCAGTTGCCAAGGAAACATTTTTCATCTAGTATTTAAATTTAATTTTAGTGTTATTTCAGTCACCGAAGTTAAAAAAAAAAAAAAAAAAATGTTAATTATGTAGAATAATTTAATTTTATAATTTTTTTTTTTTAACTTAATTGAACCCTGAACAGTCCTGAACAGAGAGCGGTTTCATCCTTCAGGCGTCTTCTTCAGTATCTGATGAAACATGTCTTTCTCTGCTCCAGCAGTAAATCAGCTTTAGATTCTCAGGAATGGGTGCTTATGTTGTTCATCAGCTCTTGGTAGCTGTGTCTGTCATGCTTTAGCTGCTGTTGATGTCCTGAAGGTCAGCAGACAATAATGTGGCATCAGCAGAGAGCGTGACTGAATTACTGTTGCATTATGGTCCCACGGCTGTAATTCAGCAAAAGATTATCTTACCGGAGCCTCATGTGATCTTCATACGCTCCTGTAGCCTGTGTGCATGTGTTGCTGTGGCTCTTCATGTCTTGAGGAGCAATATTTGCATTGGAAAGCTGTGAGGGAGATATGAAATGCGTTAATTTATGGATGGAAATTCCTGCTAGAGCTGCTGTGAGAATGTGAATGTTACACACAGCCAGTCGAAACTCTACATTATGTTAGATTGAGTCTTCTGCAGGATTTTGTTTGAAATCCAGCTTTAACTGAAGTAAATGTATTCCTGAAGTGTTGTTCATATCACCAGATTTACTGACTATATTCACTAGGGCTGAACGATTTTGGAAAAGAATCTAATTGCGATTTTTTTTTACCAATATTGCGATTGCGATTTAATATGCAATTATTTTTTAAAGCTCTTTATGTTCTGTATTATTCAACAAAGACAATAATATTCACTGTAAGTGCTTCTTGAGTTTTGGAGTAAATCTACATACTGACAATATTGTCCAAAATATTGCTTATTATAGTTCATTATAAATATATACTTAATATATCATTTATAATAATTTTATTCTAATTGCCAAAGCAACAATTCAGTTTAATTTGATGTAATAAAGTAACTACAACTTGAACTTAAATAGAAATTAATTAAATGACAATAAAATTGCAAAAATCACAGAATAAAATTACTTAAACGTTGAGTAAAATGAAAAAATAAAAACTATTTCAAAATATTAATAAAAACTAGTAACACTTTACAATAAGGTTTAATTTGTTAACTATATTATTTGGCATACAGCATTTATTAATCTTAGTTAATGTTCAGCATTTACGAATACATTATTAAAATCAAAAGTTGCTATCATGAATATATTGAATCATATTTTGATTAACTAATATTAACAAATGTTAATAGTTGCTGTAAAAACATAGTTATTTAAATACTGAATTAGCTTTTATTTTTATATTTTCAGTTTTAATGTTGTGCTTTTGTCATTTTTCTTTTAAGCTTTCATTTATTTTTATTTCAGTTTTAGCAATTTTAGTATTTTAATTAGTTGCAAAGGCAACATTTTAATTGTAAGTTTTTTTATCTAATATTTATTTTATTTCAGCTTTTTTTCAATTACAGAAAATAAAACTCAAAAAATAAAAAAATGTGTGAATTTTACACAATATTTTTTTTTTATGAAAAATGATAAAATTACAGATTTTTTTTTTTTTTTTT